CATGTGTCTTTATATTTTAAATGATTTTTAAAATTATTTTCTAGTAAGCATAATATAGTTGGGTGTTGCTTTATATCCAGTCTGACAACCTCTGCCTTTTAATTGGAGTGTTTAGACCTTATATGTTTAATATGATTATTGATATGATTGAGTTTAAGTCTACTATCTTACTTGTTTTCTGTTTGTCCCATCTATTCTTTGGTCCCTTCCCTCTCTTTTTTGCCTTATTTTGGCATACTTATTTGAGTATTTTTTATAATTACTTTTATTTGCTTTATTGGCTTACTACATATACCTCTAAATCTTTTTTTTTTTTTTTGAATCATTCTTTAGTGTTATAGTAGGTATCTTTAACTTATCAGTCTACCTTCAGGTGATATTATATCACTTCACAAATATTAAGAACCTTACAGTAATTTAATATTATCCCCCACCTTTGTGCTATTGTTATACATTTTACTTCTACTGATATTATAAACCCCACAATACGTTGTTATAATTTTTTTACTTAAACAGTCAATTGTTTTTGAAAGAGATTTTAAAAATGAGAAAACAATAGTATATTTACCCATATATTTGCCATTCTTGTTGCTCTTCATTCCTTTGAGTAGATCCATATGGTATCATATCCGTACCATATCCATATGGTATCATTTTCTTCTACCTAAAACTTCCCTTTAACACTGTCTCACAGTACAGGTGCACTGATGATGAATTCTTTCAGCTTTTGTGTATCTGAGAAAATCATTTTACTCTCTTTTTTTTAAAGGTTTTTTTTGAAGTAAAATTCATATAATGTGAAAGTAACCATTATTCACATTAATCATTGTAAAGTGTATAGCTTTTAGTACATTCACAATGTTATGTAAACATGACAACTATCTAGTTCCAAGACATTTTCATCACCCTAAATTCACTTTCATTTTTGAAAGATGTTTTTGGTGAGTAGAGACTTTTTGATGCATTTCTCTCCTTTCTGTTCTTTTAAGGTGTTGTTCCACTGTCTTCTGGCTTGCATTGTTTTTAATAAGTCAGCTGTCTTTGTTATCTCTGTTCCTCTGTATGTAATGTGCTCTGTCACCCTGAGTCTGTGTTTAGGATTTTCTCTTTGTCATTGGAATTTAATTATGCTGTCCCTTGATATAGTTTTCTTTGTTTCTCTGTGCTTTGGATTTGTTGAGCTTCTTAGGTCTGTGGTTTTACGATATTATCAGATTTGGAAATGTTTCAACCATAATTTCTTCAAATATTTTTTTCATCCCTCTCATCTTTGAGGACTTCAATTTCATGTATATTAGGCTACTTCAAGTTGTTCCCTAATAATCACATTGATACTCTATTTTTTTTCAGTGTTTTTTCTCTGTGCTTCATTTTGGGTAGTTTCTATTTCTGTATCTTTAGTTTTCTTTCCGTCTGCAGTGTCTAATTTGCTGTTACTTTCATCCAGTATATTTTTCATCTCTACGGCATTGATTTGGGGCTTTTATATTTCTTCAAGTTTCTTCTTAACATGCTTATGCTTTCCTCTGCCTTCTTGAACCTGTGGACTGTAGTTATAATAACTATCTTAACATCCTTTTCTATTAGTTTTGTCATCTATGTCATTTCTGGATCTGTTTCTGTTGATTGATTTTCCTGCTCATTTTGGGTTGTATTTTACTTCTCTGAATGTTATTTAGAATTTTAGTTTATTGAGTTCTGAATATATTTGTATTCTTTTAAATATTCTTATACAGGACCTAATTAAAGAAGTAGGATATTTTCTAATATTTATATGGAGGTAATAACTAGTATAGTTATGATGCTCATCTCAGAGAGAGTGAGGAAATAGAATGTATTTTGTTAGCATGACAGTAACAAAGAGTTAGAGCTTAGGAAATTTTGAATTGGTCACTGAGTTACTCAGAAGAAAAAAGAAATTTAAGTCTAGTTTTCCTTACCAGACACCATTCTCTTCTTCGGGAATAGTCAAAAGTCATGGGCTTTGGAGTTAGTCTTGGATTTGAATCCCAGAAATACCAGTACTAGCTGTGATCTCTGGCCAATTATTTAAACTCCCCCCTCCTCCAACAAGTCGTTTTTTTGTTTTTTGTTTTTTTTAAATCTACCTCCTTTTGTGTCTTAACAGTTGTTTTGAGAATAGAAATGAGAATATGTATAAGATATTTACATGCACTAGGAATTCAACAAAATGTTAGTTTCTTCCTCTGTCCTTTCCCCTACCCTTTAGCTGTTTCATTTTTGCAACAGTGCTACTTCTGGATCACATGTTGGTTTGAAACTTAGTGAAATGGGGAGAAAAACAGAATCATGACTCAACTACTCTGAACAGTTACTGTAACTCTTCCCATGGCAATAATTTGTTATTCTTAAACTTTAATTTTTATCAAATTACTCTGCAGTTGAAGATACTCAATTGGCAAACAAATTGCCTAAAATTGCTTTAAAATATTCAAAGCTTCTATTAATTTTTATGCTGTTTTTCAGTAATGCTGTTCCTATTAAGTAAACATATTATTCGAGATACATGATTAGAAATTTCTTTTTAATGGAGATTAGAATAAACTAATTCTATAAATGCTGGAGGGTTAATAGATTTTAACTGGATGAAGATTTGTATCATCCATTATTGTATTAATGTCCTATGTCTGCTATAACAAATTACCACAGAACTGGTGACTTAAAACAACACACATTTACTCTCTTACAGTTCTAGAGGTCATAAGTCCAAAATCAGTTTCACTGGGGCGAAATCAAGGTGTCAGTAAGGCAGTGCCTCAGGAGGCTCTAGAACAGTTCCCTCGCCTTTTCCAGCTTCGGGAGCTGCATTTCTTGCATTCAGGGTTCATAGCCTTTTCCTCCATCTCCAAAGCCAGCAGCACAGCATCTTCCAGTCTCTCTCCATTCCTCTTCTTCCTTCATCACATTACCTTCTTCTGCAGTTAAATTTCTGCTGCCCTCTTGGTAGAACACTTGGGATTACATTTAGGGGCCACCCAGATAATCCAGAAGAATCTCTCTATCTCAAGAGCCTTAACTTAATCACATCCGCAAAATCCGTTTTGCCAAAAAAGATAACATTCACCGGTTCTAGGTATTAGGACCTAGATATTTTGGGGGGACATTATTCAGCCTTCTACAATCATTTAAAGGGGATAACAAATGTTAGAATGTTTTTTATGCAGTCCTACATTAAAAAGTGTCAATTTACTGAAGTGTTCTGTTGATCTCCCCTTTTCCATCGACTATTTACAGTTTCACCTGGTAAAGTAGGTTTTCCTCCTCTGTCCATGTCACTGTGTCCACATAAATATTGAGTTCTGATGATTCACAATAAAAAGACTGTCTTAAAAGCTACATCATTTTCAAAGAATTAGTAAGTACTTTCTAAAATAGTTCATATAGCCCATTTTATAAAACTTGTTTTTATGGAATCTAGCCCTTCTGACTGTGTGCATGTATGTGTGTAGGAGTCCTGTAATGGTTCAGAAAGCTTTTACAGAAAGTATGCACAACTTCCCCACAAGTAGAACTAGTTAGGGAATTACATTTTTAAAACTGAAGGGAAACAATTTCCTGGAAAAATTCCTTTATCAGAGGTGAAGTGTTAAATAAAATGCTGAAAGAAGTAAATTCTTAGGTGTTTCTGCCAAGAAGAAACCAATTTAAGATAGGAGAAACAGCAGAGAGGAAGTAGAAAGTATTTTCGTACATGTAAAGCTCCTACTTTTATCAAAATATGCATATTCCTATCGTGTAATCCTTCTCAGAAATGCCGTATGTGATAAAATCTAGCCAATGTCTGAAGCAGATATGAGATACTTTGGAATTAATAATCAATTTCTAGTCTCACAGACCAATGCTTTCATCTTACACAGACTCACACTATTATTATTATTGTTATTATTATTGTATTCTGTTACAGAAGTGGATTCATTCTATCAAAATACAGATCAGAGAGTTATCTTTTCTTGCAGAAGGAAAGGTCTACAGCTGTGATAATTGGCTAAAAATGACTAAAAATAAGTTTTTGGATTTGTCCAAACCACACTATTATTCAAATGAAGTGGTATAGTGCAAACTGTTTTCAAAATACAGTAAGGTAAGTGGTACCAGTGCACATATATACATCCCATGAAAACACTGAAGTACCCTTAACAGTGCTTATCATGCATAGTAACCATAGTTGTGTAGCTGTACTGTCCCACTTCTGTCAACAACATTCCAGGCAGGGCCCAGGCAAGTTTGGTTACAACAGTGAACTCAGGTTTACATAACAAAAGAATTCGTTTCCCATCCAAGGAGTCAGTATAGGATAAAGCTGTGGGCTCTAGAGCCAGACTGCTTGTATGCTGGTTCTGCTGTGTGCCATCTTGAGCAAATTATGTGCCTTGTCTATGCCTCAGGTTACTCCTCTTCCAAAGAGGGATAATAGTAACTACCTCACAGAGATTGAGAGGATTAAATAACATGGGCATAGTGCTCACTTAGGACAGCATCTGACCATACGGTAAGCTCTCAAAAACTATTATAATTAATTATAGTTAATTAATTATAACCAAAGAATTTATCACACATTCATTTTATAAGTTTAGGCTTTGTTTTCACCCTTAAAAGTGGCATATTTGAATTTCTCAGTTTGAATGATCTAATGTATGGCTTTCTTCCCTTGGCACAAATGATGGAAGTTGTTGTTAATTTGTGTGCTCATTAGTTTATAAAAGGGAAACTGTTGAGATATCACATCATTCCAATTGTCAACTTTTTTCTGTCCTTATTACTTTTTTAAATTCAATAGCTAGTGTTTAAACTCTTCAGTTTTTATTACATTGGATCTGTAATTTTTCAGTTTTTACAGAGAATTTCTAGTAATTTGTGAAATAAGGAAAAAGATTAAACAGAACAGTTAAAACTATAGTGTTGAAAAAAAGCAGATGAATAGATACACCAGACACCTGAGATGAGATCGTTACCTGAGTGGAGAACAGAACACGCCTGAGTTTCTGGCAGAGGAGCAAGAAGTGTGTGGAGCTGTAGTCTTGTTTGGGTGGAACAGCAGGCAGACAAGTGTTTTCCCAGCTCTGTCATGTGAGATAGTGATATGGGGATCCAATGGGAGTGTCTTTTATCAATCTGTTAAAAGATTCAAGGGAGAACTTTAAATCTTAATTCAGTGAAGGCTTTCGTCTAGGGAACTGAAATAAGCAGAAATTTGTCTTCTGACTATATTACTAATAAACAGGGGAAGGTTTAGTCTTAAAGAATTTAGAATAGTTAACAGTTTCCTTAAATACTTTTGGTATTTTGCCGAAGTACCTTTTTTTTTTTATAATTTTATTTATTTTTCCCCCCAAAGCCCCAGTAGATAGTTGTATGTCATAGCTGCACTTCCTTCTAGTTGCTGTATGTGGGACGCGGCCCCAGCATGGCCAGAGAAGCGGTGTGTCAGTGCACGCCTGGGATCCAAACCCGGGCTGCCAGCAGCGGAGTGCGCGCACTTAACCGCTAAGCCACGGGGCCGGCCCTGCCGAAGTACCTTAATCATAGCAAAGAGTGAATGCATTTAGGATACTGGGAATAGGAAGGTGTCAATTTTTTTTAAAGTGTTATGGCTTAGCTTATAAATTCATATAAACTTTGCATTCTTCTCCATAGTTTAGCTGTATTTATTTTGACATGATTTTCTTATTACCATGATATGAAATTGTTGTAGCATGACATGCTGTGCTCATGCTCCTGTTTGTAGTACCGTTGTTGTTAATACCACCCGCTCTCTTGAGACATGAGACATAAGGCTAACTTGTTTTTCTCATATGTCTCAAAAGAGCATTTGATTGAGACTCTAGAGCTCTTTTTCACATAATGAGAGGTTGTTTTTGACTAGGAAAGATTTAAGAGTAGGTATTCCCACTTTGGACTCCAGGGTAGGGCTTTTATAGAAGAACTGAAGAGAAGTGCTTCCTACATGGTCGCCAAATAGTTGGATGAGGCAGCCATAATTGGAGTTCTGATATTATCTGGTTAAATATTGTGGAATGTCTGCCAAACACAAAGGCTTTAGTAGAATTGATACTTTTTCTATTTATCAGTTGGTTCAGCTAATATTTGTACTAGTTTAGTTAATTAAACCATCGTCATCTTCTATGCAGTGTGAGCTGGAGAACCAGTTAGGGAACTTTCTCCAGCTTTAGATGATTGGCTTTCTTAGAGTTGATAATTTATGGGATCCCTTAGGACAAGCTGGCTGGTTAATAATTAAAGCCACACAGGTAGTTATAGGTTACTTGTGTAGGACAACTCTACGTATTGTTACACACCATAAAGAGAATTCTGAGCAGACCTAGTTGATGGAAAAACTTGCATCAGTGGAGGTTTGTGGCTGGTTTGTAGGAAGTATTCTATGGGCAAGTGTGTCCCCAAATCTATATTTGCTGGATGAATCCATTATCACTAGGGCTGTAATATTTTAAACTGTCATTTGCTTTTTTTTTAATTTAAGGCATATGTTTAATAAAGTGCACAAATCTACAGCTCAGTGAATGTTTACATGTGGATTTATTTGTGTAACCACCAAGATAACATCCCACTAGCTGTGGGTTTTTTTTTTTTTTTTTGTGAGGAGATCAGCCCTGTGCTAACATCTGCCAATCCTCCTTTTTTTTTTTTTTTTTTTTTGAGGAAGACTGGCCCTGGGCTAACATCCGTGCCCATCTTCCTCCACTTTATATGGGGCGCTGCCAGAGCATGGCTTGCCAAGCAGTGCTTCGGTGGGTGCCTGGGATCTGAACCGGCGAACCCCGAGCTGCCGCAGCGGAGCGCACACACTTAACCGCTTGTGCCACCCGGCCAGCCCCTAGCTGTGTTTTTTAAAGCAAGCAAATACATTGCATTGTTTACTTAAAAAATTTTTCCTTATTATAAATACAATACATGTTCACAGATTGAAAAATGGAGATAAGAAAAAATAAGTAATTTATAATCCCACCACCAAGAACTCTGAATGTCTTGGTATATAATCAGTCATTCATTCATTTATTTATTAAGTATTTTCTGAGTACCTAATATGTGCCAGGTATTTGAGTTGCTGGAGACACAGCAATGATTAAAAAAGGCAAAATCCTTCCCCTTAAGGAGATAACACTTTAGCTGAGGGAGAGGGACAGTAAATAAGAAAATACATTGTATGTCAGATGGTTATAAGCGCCATGGGGAGATGTGAAAGAGGGGATTAAGGAGTCCTGGGAGAGGAGAGGAAGGGGCTGCGGTTTACAGAGAGCAACCAGGAGCAGCCTCACTGAGAAGGGAACATTTGAGCAAACACCTGGAGGAGGCAAAGGAAGATGCTAGACAGCTCTGAGGGGGAAATATGTCAGGCAGAGGCCCTGAGGTGGGGGTGTCTGGCATGTTTGAGAAACCCCAGAGGGCTGGAGCAAAAGAGGGTAAATGGCACTTGGGGTTGGAGAGGGAGCAGGGGCCGTGTCCTGTAGTGGTTCTTCCTCCTGGCTGCACGTGACAATCACATTGGAAGCTGGGCTGCCCACGCAGGCCACTAATTCTAGGATTGGAGGCTGGGTGTTTCTAATGCAGCCAGGGCTGAGAACACTCGTAGAAAGCCTTTAGACTATTTTAAGGACTTGAGCTTTTACTGTGAATGAGATGGGAAGCTGTTGGAGGGTCTCAAGGAATGACCCACCTGATTTAGTTTTTATTACTTGAAAACTGTATATAGTGGAATTTTTCAGACATACACAAAAGTAGAAAATATACTTTTCTGTACCACCACCAGCCCACCTACCTCAGTGCCATCTACGTTGGCTTTACTTGCTTTGTCTTGACCCCTCCCCGCTTTTTGTCCTGGAATATTTTAATGCTAGGTTGGGTTTTTAGAAGGATCACTCTGGTTTCTGTGTTGAGAGAAGGGGAGGCAGAACAAGGGCTGAATATAAGTATATCCTCCATGTATTTTTTTCTATGCATATAGGTAAAGTTTTTTAAACAAAAAATTATACTGTATTCACTGTTTATAAACTGTTTTCGTTTATTGGACATCATATGTCACTGAATATTCTACATCTTTGTGTTTTAATGGCTGCATAGGATTCCACTGTATGGATGTACCATAATTTATCTGCTGTTGCATTATTGGACATTTTAATTTAGAACCTTTTGTTATCATAAACAATGTAGTGATAAATCCCTATAGCTAAATCTCTGCATATATCCATGATTATTTCCTTAAGGTAAGTTCCTAGAATGGAGTTGCTGTGTCCAAAGGTATGCACAAAGATGTAAAGGCTTTTGATATGCATTGTTAAAGTGTTTTCCAGAAAGACTTGACAAATTTATACTCCCACCAGCTGCTTCTGAAAGTGTAAGGTTTTATTAAACTCTCACTAACACTGAATTTTTTCATTAAAAAAAAATTTCCTATTTTGACAGGTGAAAAAATGATAACTCATAGTTTTAATTTGCAGTTCTTTGATTTCTAGTGAGGCTAAATTCCGTTTCCATTTGTATTTAAATAATAAACATAGAAAATATGTTTATTCATATCATTTGCTAGCTGTGTGACTTTGGATAAGTCACTTAGACTTATCCAAAAAAACCTATGTTTTTGTACTATGAAGTGGGTGTTGTATACCTGCTTCATAGGGTTTCCATGAACATTAAATAAAAGCATTTTGTATACCCAGCTTTTTAAATTTTTTGACCATGATCCACAGTAAAAAATGCATCTTACGTCGTGCAAGCATTTATAAATATGTAACCAAAAGTTTCATGGAACAGTGCATATACCTTTACCAAGTGTGTTATACTCTGATATTTTACGTTCTCATTCATTTTTTTAAATGTCTATCGTTAGCCATTAAATTGATCATGACCCTCTGGGTTGTGATCCAGTGTCTGAAAAACACTGCTGAGCTGTGGAGTACTGTATCTTGTTAGGTGCTCTTTTATCTATAGTGATTCCCTCTTTCAGGCACCTCAGAAGTCAGCCTCCCTTTACCTCTACTAAAATTCAACTTTTAGAAAAGCTAAATAAGAGAAAGGCCCCAAACTTAGCTTATTGTATTCCTGTATCAAATTTTTTGGTCAGTGAAAAATAACTTCACAGTCATAAAATGTTTTTGTTTGGGATTCTATGATACAATAATGACTGAATTATTAACACCACTATTGTGAAATAGTGTTGTGAAGTAGATCTAACGCATTTGAACAAAAACACCACATCATTACAGGGATTATATTTGCAAAACTCCAAACTGGGACACAGCATCTGACAAAGAGTTTTGTCTATAGTTTTTGTTAGCTGAAAAGTTGGCAAAAATGGAAGACATAAATCACATTTAGTTACATTTAATACGGCCCTTTTCCATAGAAAAAAGAAGATAATATGAGAGCTGGATAATCCGGAGAAACTGAGAATCTGTGGCTACCATGCATAAAACACCAGATGCTGTTCATTGGTAGATTTATAGCTAAACTACTTGAGGACCACGCAGAAAGGAGTTAGCCATATGTAATTATTAGCTGTGACTAGAGAAAATTTAATCAGATGAAACTGAGAATCACTTCCAAGTCTGAGGGATGCTGGAATGAAAACTGCATAGAAAAACAGAGTGGGGATGGAGTGGTGGTGTTTACTATTTGAAAAACACCCAGGAGGTTAACCTATTTGACAATAGAACTGTATTACTTTTGATCTCTAGTTTAACATCAGATGTTTTATTTGAGTTATTTTTTGAGCTAAACCAGGAAAATTTTAAATGACTCTAAGTTAAAAGTTGGACTAATAAGCATTTACCACTTCTTCACTCACTCCTCCACAGAGGAAAAATTTTGAGGAATGTCAGAAACAATTTGGTATATAAAAATAAAAACTAAATTTTATACCAAAGAACCATAATTTACCTTTGAAAAAGAGCAGAATTTGTATGCTGTATCTTTACTATATTGATTTTAAAAATTAAATGTCATCAGATTTAGAAAAATAAGCAACTCTGCTTTTCACT